TATACTCATGTTCTTGGTGATCTGATCCGGACTTCTGCTGATCAGTCCCAAATTTATATCTTTACCCTGACTCTCTCTCCCCTGAATTCCAAACTTACAGAGCCAAGTGGATCATCTCCACTTGGATATGTAACACACATCCCAAGCTTCAGATGGCCAAAACCAAATCCTTGGTTTTACCTTCCAAACCTGCTCCCCTGAAACATTCCCATCAGTAAATTACAACCCCTTCCTACCAATTGTCCAGTCCCTAAACCTTAGAGTCATTCTCAATTCTCTTTCTCTCTCACCCCAACCAAATCTATCAGTAAACCCACTCAGTTTTATCACCCAACACATGCAGAATCTGACTACTTCCCACCACCCCCACTGTTCCCATCCTGGTCCAAGTCACCAACCTCTCTCTCACCTGGACTAGAGCATTTGCCTCCAGTCTTCCTGCTTCTACCGTTTCCCTCCTATGGTTTGTTATCAATACAGCAGCCAGAGGAATTCTGTTAAAACATCCCATCACTCTTCTATTCAAAAAACCTTCCAATGGAATTTCATGTACAGCAAAACCCAAGTCCTTAAAACAGACAACAAAGTCCTCCATGATCAGGCATTTTTCACTCTAATCTTGTTTTATTCTTCTCATACCACTACCCACCCTCTCACATCCCATATATTCTACTTTGTTGTTGTTGTTTATTGTCGGTCTGCTCCACTAGCATGTAAGCTCTAAGACGGCCAAACTTTTGCTTGTTTTTGCTCATTTTTATATTCCTAACACCTAGAACAGTGCCTGGCACATAATGGATACTCAACAAAGTATGCTGAATGAATGGAAGTGTGAGAGAAGAAAAGCACCAAATCACATTTGAAGACTAGAAAGTTAATCTCATCGCTGTCATGTCCCTTTTTTTCTTGTGATAAAATACACATAATGTAAAATTTATCAGTTTAACCATTTCAAGTGTACAGTTCAATGGCATTAAGTACATTCACATTATTGTGCAACCATCACCACCATCTTTCTCCAAAACTTTTTTCATCTTCCTAAACTGAAACTTCATACCTGTTAAACAATAATTCCCCATTCTTCCCTCCCTCCAGCCCCTGGCAACCACCATTTTACTTTCTGTTTCCATGATTTTGACTACTCTAGATATCTCATGTAAGCAGAATCATATAGTATTAGTCCTTTTGTGACTGGCTTATTTCACTTAGCATGTCTCCAAGGTTCATCCATGTTGTAGCATGTGTCAAAATTTCCTTCCTTTTTAAGGCTGAATAATATTTCATTGTACATATATACACCACATTTTATTTATCCATTCATCTATCAGTGGACGTGTCGCTTACACATTTTGGCTATTATGATAATGCTGCTATGTACATGAGTGTTCAAATATTTGTTTGAGTCCCTACTTTTAATTCTTTTGGGTATATATCCAAAAGTGGAATTGCCAGATCATATGGTAATTCTATGTTTAATTTTTTGAGTAACTATCATATTGTTTTCCATTGCAGCTGTATCGTTTTACATTCCTTCCAGCAATGCACAAGTGTTCCAATTTCTCCATATACTGCCAACATTCATTATTTTCTATTGTTTTTTCTTTTTTAATAATAGCCATCCTAATAGGTGTGAGGTGGTACCTTGTTGTGGTTTTGATTTGCATTTCCCTAATGACTACTGGTGTTTAGCATCTTTTCATATGCTTATTGTCCATTTATATCTCTTCTTTAGAGAAATGTCTATTCAAGTCCTTTGCCCATTGTTTAATCAGCTTGCTTGGTTTTTTGTTGTTGAGTTGTAGGACTTCTTTATATATTCTGGATATTACCACTTATCAGACATATGATTTGGAAATATTTTCTCCCATTCTGTGGTTGCCTTTTCACCCTGTTAACAGTGTCCTTTGATGCACAGAAGTTTTTAATTTTGATGTAGTCCAAATTATTTTTTCTTTTGTTGCTTATGCTTTTGTGTCCTATCCAAGAAACCACTGCCAAATCCAAGGTCATCAAAATTTTCCCGTTTTAAGTGTTTTATGGTTTTAGCTCTTATGTCTTTGATCCATTTTGAGTTAATTTTTCATATGGTGTAAGGTAAGGATCCAATATCTTTCTTTCGCATGTGGATATCTAGTTTCCCCAGCACCATTGGTTGCAAAAACTGTCTTTTCCCCATTGAATGGTCTTAGCACCCTTGCAGAAAATTATTTGACCATATATGCAAGGGTTTATTTCTGAGCTGTCCCTTGTTTCCCTGACCTCTCCAACTTCAATTCCCAAAAATGTAAAATAAGCAGTTTCTACCAATAGGGATGGTAGATATGTATCACACATGCCACAACCCCTAACCCCATGCCGAGGACAGACATCACTACCAATCACAGCACTCTTTCCCCTAAGTTGAGTTACGTTAGCAGACTTCTTGACAAGGAAGTCTAGGCAGCCCCTAACAGGCAGTCAGAGTTGACACAAGTTGAAACCCAAAGTCCTTATCAACTATATAGTTATCTGTGACTGCAAAACATAGCCAAAGTCTTCTACACAACACCCTAAGTCCACCCCACATTAGTGAAGAATAATTTCCCTAACCATCACATGTACCTCAATGCACCATGTTTGAGGAACCAATGGGGAAAAAAAATCAACATAATACATACTTTATAAAGCCTTTACAGGTCACACGCCCAGTGATTTCTGTAATGTTGAAATCTCTACAGAAAAATCTCCACATGGTTATTTCATCTATGTTTGAACACCTCTTCCACTGATGGGAAACTCACTACTTTCAGAGGAACCCCATTCCATTTTTTTAAAGCTTGACTGTTAGGAAAATCCATACACATACATTTTTTTTTTAATGGTTTGCTTTCTTCAGCTGTGTTTATTACATTCATTTGGGTCCCTTTAAGAAGAATCTCTAAAGGCGCTAAGGCTGGTGAACTACCTACCATGGATGAGACCACTACAAAAAAAAAATAAGAAATTTATTTGCAGCTAAATAGCCTGAGCTGCAGATTAGATAGAGTATGAGATAACTTGGCTCCTGGGGTATCCACAAACCTGGATCTTTCCCGAAGGGAAACCATCATGAAATAATGATAGATATATGACCTCCAAGTTGTCTTGGTTTGGACAAAGAGAGAATGGAAAGGGTTGTTTATTATGAATAAACAGAAGACCCCAAACTACCTCTCAAGAGTGAACACAGCTCCATAAAAATCAGAGATCCATAGAAATGATTAGGAAAACACTTAAACAAAGGCTTGTATCTACACCAGATCACTTGGTAGGGGAGTGACTAAAGGCAGAAAATCAAGACAGACTCAAAACTCAGTAACAGCAAAAATAAAGATATCAACTTCAGAATATTCTAGCTGAAATTAAATACTAATGATTAGAGTTAAGTCCTCAAGCATCCCAGATTTCTTTGACTCTTGCTCCTAATACAATGCTTACAGTGGTCACCTCTGATTGCACTTTTCTCTGTTTATTTTAATAGGAAGAACTGGATCTTGGAATTATCCCCAGAGCTTCCCAACCCTGGAGATCCTCCAAGCCTTCTGAAGAGCTTTTAAAAGTGCAGGCTCCACCCTAGACACTCTAAATCAGAATCTCTACAATTGAGTGTGGTTACCTTCTTTTCTTGTTATTTTTTAAATTTCTGCCATGTGATTCCAATGATAAGCAGGGCTTGGGACCTGTTGGTCCAGACCCCACACCTCTACAGGTTTTCCATGCAGGAGAGACAGCATTAGTAAGTGGCTCTGCCAATGAACAGGGTACCACTGTCATTGGGAGACAGCTACAGCTATTAAAGATGATGAATTGCTAGACCACAAAGAAACATGGAGAAGAACATACAATATAATTCTAACTATAAAGCCAACACCAAATATAACACGGTATGTTATTGAAGATTTTGGTCAGGTAAAATAATAAGTACAACAGAAGCTCTTTCATCCAACATGAATAGCATATAAAGGTGGTTACAATAGAGCCTGAAGCCTTTTGTTGATAGCAAGGAGTTGCCTAGAACCACCTGTGAGAGGGATTCAGGTGGTTTTCAAGTGTTCTCCTGTCATATCCCTCGGATGATGAGAAGATCTGCCATAGACATTCTCCCCTCTCTATACCGTCTCTACTTCAATTCAATAGCAACAGAAATCCAGCTGCAGTGGTTACAACCAACAGGTCTTTGTTTTTGTTCACAAAGTAAGAAGTCTGGAGGTAGGTGGTTGCTGGCATCAGTTGTGCCACTTAATGATGACATCCAAGACCCAGATTCTTTCATTCTTTCTTCATTCTTATCTTCATACTTGTATTGCCATAGCAAAACGGCCACGTCAACTCCAGGCATCATGTCCATGTTCAAAGCAAAAGGGGGCGGAAAATGGGGAGGCATCAACTTTCCCAGGAGGCCCTCTCCAGCCAATTTCCTCTTATGTCTCAGTAGTCCATGGGTTACATGACCAGCCCTAACTACAGGGGATGCTAGGAAATTAAAAATCTATCAAAGGAAGTAGGATTATCTTGAATAGTTTATATCAAACATGGTTCATCTTCTGGACCTGGATAGATTGCTGATCCAGTCAAAATCAGTTTCTGTTATCAAGAAAGAATGTGAGTAACAGTTGTTGGGTAGAAATTATCTACCACAACTTTCCTGCCTCAATTTATAAATAAATGTCACAACAAAACAAATGACACACTTTCATTTAATTTCCTAATTTTTGAAGAACTATGATGGGCCAATCATTATGCTAGTCACATCAGGGGTTAGAGCTGGATCAGATAATAGCTCTGTCTGGAACTTACCCAATTGGGACTTATAGTCAAGCCAAGGCAATAAGGCTTGACCACAGACAACCAGAATTGAAGCATGTTAAGATGGACAAATACATACTATTAAAAAGATACCAAAAATAGGTTATAGTGAAATAGCATCTATATTAAAGCCACTAATCTATAATAACTTAAATTAAAATTAAAATTAAAGTATGTTCAAATTTTAGCTAACTTATAAATAGAATATGGCCATTAAGGAACATGGAATCAACACTGAAAATGCAAAAATGCATGAATTAAAATCATTTACAATTACTGTGAAAGTATTTAACAATTTGTTATTATTACTATAGAGCCCCATACACACACAAAAATTCTCTGTTACAAAATTCAACAGTTTGACCTTCATCTAATTTTGCTTAAGCCTCAAGGATTTTCATCACGTTATGGGTATTCTTCGCTTTTCTTTAACCTGCACAATGCAAAGTGATTTTTAAAATCCTCTAAAATGAACATGCCAATAAAATGGGCAGTGGACCATACCAAAGATTACTTCCCTGCTGTTCCTCCTTTGTTTATGTGACTATTCAGAGTCTCTGCCATTCTGTGTCTGTGAAACCTGGGATTAGGTCAGGCAGGTGTGGGATAACATTCTTTCACCATGACAACACCATCGCCTCTGCTAGTGCGTCCAAGCTTCGACAATGACGAGGAGATAATTTATAACCTCTCTAGTTGAGCTCTTCTCACCACCTGAACAGAGGAGAGGCTAATCAAATTCCATCTCAAAGAAGAATATCACTGCCCTTCTTTCACCTCTTTCTTTTCCAAGAGTGTCCTTGCAAGAAGTGTACAACCCAGGCATCAATGTTCAAGAGACATGATTGGATAAGCGGACAGAGCAAGTCCCACATTCCCAACTCTAACTCTCATTTTCAACAAAGGCTCTCTGCCTGTGACTAGAATAATTTGGTGCATAGCAGAAGCTGGAATTAACAGATGAAAATCTTCTCATACATTTGTAGACAGATATGATTCTCACAGATGATTCCTGTTTTCATCTTCCATCCTATTCCTCTCCATGATCACTCCTCACAGTAAGACTTTTCCAATGTCATATTCACATATTCAATTCCCAACTCATCATTTTCATAATAAATATTTATGGAACACCTACTGTGGGCTAGGACTCTGCTCAGCCCTGAGGATACAACGGTATCCAAGAGAATCCGCAGATGCTTGCCCTCATGGAGCTTAAAGCCTAGACTTCCCATGGCTATTTCAAATGCTACCTCTTCCAGGAGGCCTTCCATGATTCCTTTCCTTATTCTGCACGCTCACAGTACTCTACTCATGCTGTACTTTTGGTCTGTATCATTTTCTACTTTGAACGGCAGTTGTGTACATATCTCATCTTCCCTGTCCATCCACAAAAAGCTTAAGCCCTCATTCATTTTTGAACCCCAACAGCACTTCACCCAACACTTTGCTTATATGTGTACCCTCCCCTAAAAAATTATGAAATGAACAAAAAACACAAGGAAGAAGAAACGTGTCAACCTTTAAAATCAGCACTAATTACATTTCCAGAGTCTAAAGAGAAATTACAGATAGGAAGAAAAATTTATGAAAATTATGGGGCAGCAGAACATTCATAGGATTAAGAGACAAAAAGTACAAAAATTATAGTCACATATTATAGAACTCTTTTTGTAAGGATGAACAAGAAATAGCTCACTTTCTATTCTGACCATACTCTAAATAAATGGAGAAAAGCAAAAAATATAAGCCAGTTTAGCAGTTAGGTGGAAAATATTGATCACGGGGAATCTATTACAGAAGGAAGAAAATATATCAAGGAGTTCAGTTAACAAATGCAATGGAAACTGTGCCAGTCAGCCAGATCTTGAGGTGAGATTTATACCTCATGGAGACAGAGAGCAAAATGAAGAGAAAGAGCAGGTCTTACCATGGAATGACATGTATTCTTTTAACCACAACAGTAAGGTTGTGAAAAAATAAATTTGAAAAAAAATTAAAATTAATTTGAAAAAAATAAATTTGCATAATCTAATTAACATATTTACATTACCTTCCCAATAGCAAGACAGAAGGAACTTGACTGAGCAGTGCTCATGATCTCCAGAGCTACATACATAATAATCAGTTACCCTAACAGGGGTATCCCAGTTCATAGCAATGGCATTATAATGAGAAAAGCCACCTCCAAATGAAATAAAACCATCTCACCTACGATGGTAGGGGAGATCCACATGTAGTCTTGCTAGTGCCACCTCAGGGGTTGTGCCATCAATGTCCCAGAGAAGAAGACCAGACATTAGGTCAAGAGCCTGTGTTCTCAAGGGAGCTGGCCTGTTGCTTCTCCAGCTGACTTCGGCTGGAGTCAGCGGAGGTAATAAATCATGTCATTGTCTGGTCCCATTATCTCATCCATCTATCCTTTGATTCTGCTGCTTGGAAGGAAATCCCAGAAATCAGGAAGCACAAGCTGAGAACCCACAGATGTCATTCTCTGGGTAAAGAAAGATTCAGAGCATTCAAGAAACCTGCAGGAATCTGCCGTGCCTTGACCTAGGAGAGCTAGACCCATTCAGATGGAGGCCAAGAACAGGAAGTTAACAACAGCTCTAAAAATCCAACTTCATAAAGGTTGCTAAATTTTGGTGGTTAAATCTATAGCTAACTCTGAAAGGGAGCCTAAAATAGGGCTGAAATTTTAACAATGAAAAATCATCTCAGTTAATAATTCCTTTTTCCTTTCTAAACCAGTCAACAAAGTAAATGACCATGTTGAACTCAGGAATGGAATAAAGTGTTCTTACAATGAAAAAAACAATCTTTTTCTCAAAACTCCTCTCAACAGGATAAAATGCCCCAATTAGTAACTATTTGTTAATTAGTTTTTCCATCAGCTGTTCCATCAAGTGTATTTTACCCTCCACAAAAGATCTATCATTCAACTTCTTGGAAATCCTCCCACTGAATTTCAGGGGAAAAAATTACAACCAATTCAACACTGGGTTTCTAATAACATTCTTATTCCCTCACCAAAAATAGAATTTCATGACTTTCTTCTCATAGCTTGCTTTTCAAATTAAACTAACTCTAGGTCATTTCCCCCTGCCCCCCACCTAAGTGATTAAGTAATAAGAATGTTATAAGGTACATTGACAGTGAAAAAGCAACAAAGGACAGCAAACAGTAGTGACTGTAAAGTCAAAACTAGATTTAGTGGGAAAGTTTCATGACTGATTAGTGATTTCTGTCATTGGAACCAAAATGGAGAAGGGTAATCTATATACACACTAGTTGGACATAAGGGGAAAGAACTAATAAACATTTTCAGTAGCAAGACGATTCTTAAATTGTTTCATTTTTAAGATTCAGCTAGTTCATATGCAACATAATCAAGAGTTCACTGACCTGGCCTGATGAAGGGGTGGGTTTATCATGCCACAGAATGTAATCTAATGTTTTGGGCCTAGGTCACATCCAAAGATTAGCAGGAAACACTACTTATAAGGACGCCTCCCAGGTTGAAGGAGACCACTCACTTAAGGTTGGACTCTGATAGCCTAATAGAGCTGTGGACAAAGTGCGGTGGAGGAAAAGCACTGAACTTAGAGCAACTGCTTCAATTTCCAATTGCGACTCACACTATGTCAGACTGACCCTGTAGCTTTCGATCCGTCATCAGTTAAATGGGGATACTGACTCTTGCATTCATCTCAAAGATGTTGTAGGGGTTAAAATGAGAACCTAAGTGATACACTCAGAACACAACATACCTTGAACACCTTTTGATCTCACATATAAGAGACATTCTAAAAATAAATTATGCTAAATTATGCTAAAATTATGCTAAAAATAAATTATGTTAAATTATATTCCCAAATAGCAACATTGTTAATTATTCTCCATTGAAAGACCGCCATAAGGAGCAGGAGGATGAGTTCCCTGCCGTACTGTGGAATGAGCCCACAGTGTCAGTCGATGTAAGTCGCCTGGTCACAGCTTTCAATGTGCACCACTGACTACAACTCCTCACCAATGAGGGGATAAGAAGAAAATAACATAAGTGATTAACTTCTGTCTAAAACTTCTGAGTTTATCAATCATTGACCACAAGAAGACCCTCACATCAACTAGAGATACTACCATCATTGTCATTTTAGGAATTAGGAGAATGAGAAAGAGAAAAATTAAAGGAATAGGAAGTAGGGGACAGGGAGAAGCCTGTAGCCTTGATTCTAAATACCACGCCACGTCTCCTGTTTAAGGTGAACATTATCAACTCAAGTAAGTAGGTAAATTGTGACAGCTGAATGACGACCTTGTTATCACTTAGGAAGGGATGAAAGAAAGTGAGCTTCAATTATAGAGGTAGAAATTAAGGTTCCATATAAGGGAGAGTGTACTGATAAGGCAACCATGCTCAGGAATGGGTCACTAATAAGACAGTGGAGAATATCTCTTCAGGGGGAGAAAAATGTGCTTGTAATCAGATACTTTTTTTATTTGCCATTAAAATCTGCCTATGGGCTTCAGGAAAATATTAAAAATAACCTTTTCTGTCCCCTGAGCATCATGATATCCCAAACCATATCTGATGGAAGATTAATTTTTCCATTCCATGGATGCTATTCAACTCTAAGTCAAATCAAATACTTACTGTGTGCCTACTGTGTACAAAGCAAAGTATAGCAGATGACACACTGTGCAATGTATTCAAGTAAACATATTAGAATCCTGTAGCGAAAATAATAGCAAAGATGCTATCTTCTGCTAGATAAAGGTAAAGAGGCAATTCAGAGAGACAAAGTATTTTAAACAAATGGTTTTAAAGAAATGTTTCAAAGGTCAAAATTATCAAGATGTAAGGGGATTCATCCAGGTAAAGGTGTGTGTGTGTGTGTGTATGAATGCCCATGTAACAGTTAATGCCACCACAACAGTTTTGTTTCCTCTACAATGTTTTCTGGCCCTTAGCTATGGATATATCTCACTTACATCTTTGGTTCTCCATCCTGAACCAAGTTAACTTCATGGAAGGTTTATTTCATCATGATATTTGCTACCAATAAAAGCACCCTCTATCCATCTTGTTGGGGTTTCTTATTGGACAATTTAAAAAGGAAGTAGTGGGCTTGTTCACAGTGACTCATAAATTCCTGCTTCTATAGGGAGATGAAAAGGATTCACAGGGACTCCCTCACTGATATGTATTTTGCCCAAAGGTACTGGTACTCATCAACTTCTGTCTAACTGCCTTCTTTGACCATTACACTAGAATTCACCACAGCATAAAGTCCTCTTTCAGGGCAAACTATCAGAATGAGGAAGAGTTAACTAGCTTTCCATGGTGGTAAAAAGGAAAAAAAAAAATCCTTGAGTATTTATTTTAAAGTGTCACTTGGACCCAGGACCTTTATACAAAGTTCAATAGAAAACGGCTTCCAGTAAAGACAACGGTGGTTATGATCAAAGGATGTAAGTGAACAAGGGCCTCATATTTCTAACTTTCTTCTCCATTTTCCTCACTGGCCACTCACTGTGGCAGGCAAACAAAGTCCAAAGAAGTTGCCATGGCCTAGGAAGTCCTACCTAACATGGCAACAACCAACTGCCATAATCTCACCCGAAACTGCCCTCCCTTCAGACCTTTCTTTTCCACTGTTCCCTTCCACTCCTCCCACTCGCCACTTCTTCCCTCTGGGTCTTCACACCTGCCATTCCCTTTGCCTGGAATGATCTGTACTTCCACCCTTCCCCATTCATCCTTCATATCATACCTAACATGTCACTCCCTCAGGGAAGCTTTCTCTGTGTCCTACACAGGGGAGGCTTCCAGTTATGGACCCCAGCTATGTGTTCTGATAGAATCCCTAACCTCTCTTTCCATGCCACGTAACACAACTGAAATTCATTGTTTATGTAACTATCTATTTAGGAACCATCACGCTAGATTATTAGCTCTTGAAACCAAGGTTTAAGGCCATCTTTTTCACCCCTATATCCCTAAGACAGTTTCTGGCACATAGTGAGAGCTTAACAAATTTATGGAATTAATGAATGAATGAACTGAATTGAATAACTAGAAAGTTCTCTAACCAAGAACCTTTCTCCTTTAATTATTTTCCCAAATCAAACACAGACCAGATGACTGAAAGCCAGGATCAGCAAACCCTCAGCTACACTACCATAAACCTCTATGAAGACCAGAAAAGCATCAGAGGACAAAGTTTTGAGTGAGCCTTCAACGGGAGTTTCTTTTTCGGGTGATGAAATGTTCTAAAACTATTGTGATGATGATTCCTCAACCCTTTGAATATACTAAAAATTATTGAATCGTACACTTTAAGCGGGTGAATTGAATGGTATGTGAATTACATCTCATTAAAGCTGTTATTTAACAAATTTCAAACTCTAAGCTATAAAAACCAAAGTACTAGGGTCTTTAAGTACTTTATTTCAAACCTTAAGTTCTTTAAGTTGTCCTTGGATTTGGTCAATTATTAAAAGGGAAACTGGAGTTTTTTGTGGCTTAAGAAATCATCCGATTGGAGACTGTTGTATTTTGAATAAGATGTTCAGGAAAGAATAGTTTTCATCAGTGAGTTAGGATCTCTCCTTTCACACGAACTGACACCTCCTTCACCAAGGAGGAACTCCAAACAGGAGCTAAACCGAGATGCTTACAAAGAATTAAAGAAAAGCAAATTAAAATTAAATTTAATTTTTTTGCTTATAATACTGATAAAAAGCTCAGGATTGGAAAATTTGTAGTTAAAGAGGAATTCATACTCACTGTGGGAGCAGAAATTTGCGCAACCATTTGGAGGGCAATTTGGCAAGAGCTATTCAAATTTTACATGTTCACACCATTTTACCTAGATATTCTCTCCTAGTAGTTCACTCTTCAGAAACTCATGCTCAATTTGTAATTATTAGTAATACTGAAAAACTAGAAACAAACCAATGTCCATGATAGGGGGGATTGGCTAAATAAAATTGAGTCTGTCTACTCAATAGAATATTTGACGGTTGTTAAAAAGAATGAGGTGGTTTGACACGTACTCACATGGAAAGACGACCAAGGTGTATTGTTAAACAAAAAAAAAAAGCAATTAGAATATAATATGTATTTATAATGTTAATACATGTATAGGAAAAATATGAAGGAATATACTCCAAATTTAAGGGTATGTTATCTTAGAGTGACAGTATTTCCATTTGCTATGTTAAATATTTCTTCAAGTTTGAATTTTTTATAATTCAAGTTTGAATTACTTTACTTTTGCAAGCAGAAAAAGAAAATATTTAAAGAAGAATTTTCCCTTTCCTTTGTCTGGGTCACTGGAGAATGGGGGAGGGGACGCGGGGGACACTGAGGGAGACAGAAATTGCAACTGTCTCCAATAACTAGGAAGAGTGGCAACTTTCTAGCTTTCATTGTGAAAAGTCACTCCCCTCCCCTTTCCTTATCTCCCACAGCCCTTCCTTTCTCTACTCCCAAACTGAACCACCTTCTTCTTCAAACTGCTGAATGTCATTCAATCAGTTCTCATGTCTTTACCCTCCTGTTGGAGCACAAGCTCCCAGAAGACAAAGGACTCAATTCAACTTATCTCTAGGTCCTCCACAGCACGAAGGACAAAGCCTGTACACAGTGTTCTGGAGAGCTTTAGCAAGCATATCAGAACTTTTGAAAAACAGTTTTCAAAATTCAAAAAGTACCAAAAGATATAGTAAAAAACGTCGTCCTCCTCTCGCTCTGGATTTTCAGTTCCCCAGTGCCTGGCAGTGACTGTTACCAGAGTCTCATCTATTGTTTCAGAGACAGTCTACATACACACATGCATTCCTATAGCTCATTTTCCTTACACAAGTGGTAACGTACACTCTGTTCTGTAGCTTGCTGTTTCAACTTTCATAATTATGCAAATGTTTCATATTGGTACATATAGATATAATTAATACCTCATTAATCTCGTTAAAGTCTTCCCAGTATAGCATTTTGTGGGTGTACCATAACTAATTTAGCCATTCTTTCCCTGACATATTTAGTTTGTATATTTTTTAGGATAAAGTCTAGCTGTACTCAAGATAAGTGTCTTAAACAAGATAAAACTGCCTGTCTTTATTACAAAAAGGTGTAGAAGTAGGTAGTATAGGGCTGCTTTGGTAATCTACAACATCAGACACCCATGTCCCCACCCTCTTATTATTCTGCCAGGCATGGCCTCATTCCAAGTTCACCTCCTGGTCCAAGATGGCTGCTCCAACTCCACGTACAATGTACACATTCCAGCCAACAAGGAGGGGGCAAAAAGGAGAAAGCCATGCCCCTCTCTTTAAGTGCACTTCCCAGAAGCTATATACACTACTTGACACTAAATGACACGGTCATACTTTGTTACAAAGAAGGCTGGGAAATGTGGTCTTTACTCCAGGCAGCATATGCTCATCATAAATTAAGACTTCTTTTACTAAAGTATATGGGAGGAAACAGAGTTGGAAATAATACAGTCTCTACTGTATTACAAGTTTCTTCCAGTCTTTCGCAAGTCAAACAAAGCAGCAAAGAACATCCTTATATATCTGCCTTTGTACACTTATGTGAGAGTATCTTTGGATACATCATTATAAAAGGAATATGAGAGGCTTCAGAGATCCTATTCCAATTCTTTCATTTTACAAATGAGGATTAAGACCCAAAGAGATGAAGTAACTTGCCAAAGATCACATAACTAGCTCCCAGCAGAGTAGGGCTGCCAGATAAAATACAGGACACACAATAAAATTTGAATTTTAGGTAAGCAAATAATTTTTTAGTATACGTATGTCACATGTAATATTTGGGACATACTTATACTAAATAATTATCCCTTGTTTATCTGAAATTCAAATTTAACTGAGAATCCTGTAATTTTATTTGCTAGTTCTGGCAACTCTATAGCAGAGTTAGGTTTAAAATTGAAATCTCTTGACTTTCTATCCCACAGTTTTTCCTATGTACAACATGGCCATGTCAAGTGGACACTCAGTTAACAAATGAGGTAGCACCAACAAAGCATACTAATAATCCAGACAAAAAAAACACCTCCCCACCACAGATTAGCTTTTATAAGGGCTCAGACATCATGTTCTCCACGCCACACGCTTAAATTAATTGAATTTTTCTGTGTCATAGATACATGGGTGACAAATCAACCACTCCACAGAGGTTACAGTAAATGCTTCAGTCCAAATGCCATTAGAGCCCCTGTGCTCCTATTCAAAATAAAATTAGCCTTAAATCAAAGCAGGCTCTCAGAGGCTGAAAGCAGGCAAATCCTGCCAGAGTTCTGGTTTATTACACATGCAGAGAAGAACACAACGATGGAATATAGATACACCACAGCATTCAGAACTCCTTTGAAATTCAGTCACTTCACAGTAGTGATAATGTCTGGGGATGGGGAACCAAGCTCAAAATCTCAATTACACCGGTAAATATATTTTATTACATTCTCTATATATGGCTTAAAAAATTCAAACGTAACAAATTAAGACCTTCTCATATCCCCTCTTCCTGATTACAAATAAAGAGCTCTGCAGAATTTTTCACATGACAAGATTTTACAGGTATGCACACATTTTATAACAAAGAAATCAAGAACCTTAGCTCTAAGCTACATTTTTCATCCTAAATAATGTACATTATTTCCCTAAAAGAGAACTACCTGAAGACTTAACAAGCCAAAATTTAGCACATGGAGCAAAACAAAAAAAAAAAAAAATGAGCCTGATTGTTATCCAGTCTCTAGATTCAGCTACCAATTTCCAGGAAACACAAAGAACAGAGCAACATTTTAAACTCGGCAGGGATGCAATCAACAAAATCCAGGCTGTGGGGAAACTCCACAGGACAAACAACCTGGTCTCTTCAATAACTAAATAACAAACGGAAAAAAGTAAATGAGACTTAAAAAACATCAACCAATCACAATGTGTGGCCCTTATTTGAATCCTAATTCAAAAATCAAAAAAACAAATTTTAAAAAAACAAAACTATCACACTTATGAGACAACTGGAAGGAAATCTGAACACTGAATATTCGGTAGTATTAAAGAAGTATAGCTAATTTTTCAGTGCATGTGATAATACTATTATATTTAGAACTTTTTTAAAGGTCTTTCTGTTTTAGAGATAGAGACTAAAATATTTATGGATGAACTGACAGGATGTCTGGGCTCTGCCTCAAAATAATAGAGGAGGAAGTGGATGGGTGTGATAGGGTAGGAGCAGCCATAGGCTGATGGACTGGGGAAGGGGATGGGTACACAGGGAGTCATTACACTATTTTCTGTCTATGTTTATGCATGTTTGAAATTCTCCATAACTTTTTAAAATTTTTAGTACGTGCCAAAAATATAAAATAAAACCTGAGTAAAATAAAATAAAACCTGAGTAGCATAGTTGTACATATCTGAAACACGGTAATGTTCCACCAGAAAAAATAATCTAAACAACTCCATTATTTCAGATCCTACTATGAACAATGCAATAATTTAGGTAAAACACTTTGTCTTGAATATTTTTCAGAAGGAAGGGTTTGAATTACCTGTTATGAGCTAAAATGAAAAAAAAAATAGTACACGCTAAGGTTATTTCAAACACATTTAATTTTCCTACAAGCCAGCAATATCAAGACCTCTCTCGTAAAAACCAATTACTATTTTCCACCAACAAATTGTAAACAAAACCCTAATGAATGATTTTGTTAATACCTGTTTTTCTATGTTCATTACTCTGTGCTCCAGTTTTTAATGTAATATATAATTGGAACATCAATCAAATATCAAAAGAGAAGGATAATTTAGTCTGATTTTACTAGAAGCTACGAAATCTATGATCAAAACTTTTTTAAAAAAAGGTTGATAGTGAGAAACTTCAACAGCCCCACTATGAAACAATTTTTATCAGCTTTATTAGCCATAATCTTGCAAAAAAAAGTTGCTCTACTCTTGCGTTCCTCTTTCAGTTTGTTTCCTCCCCCTAGCAATTACCTGAAAACAGAGAAGCAGGCAAGTCCCCAGGTGGTACAATCTAAACAATGCCTGGGAAAAGAGCCTGTGAACTTTTCTAGCTCTGCCTAAATCTTTATATCACAAAACCCAAATAATTTTAAATTAGGTCAGTGCCAACCTGGAGGTATAAAACACACAGGGCCTTTTTGCAAACAAAGCATCATTCAGCCTAGGCATCTTGTGAAGTGAGTAGATTGCTCAGGAGTTACCCGCACCTTACAAATGAAGAAATCGAGACTCCGAATTAACAAATTTGTTAAATGAGACAGAACCAAGGAGTAGTTGACTTGAACTCAAATCCCCTAATAACTACAGATCTTTCTCGACTTACGATGGGGTTATGTCCTGATAAACCCATCATTAGTTGAAAATATTGTTAAGTCAAAAATGCATTTAATACACCTAACCTACCAAACATCATAGCTTAGCCCAGCCTGTCTTAAACATGTTCAGAACATTTACATTAGCCTATAGTTGAGCAAAAGCATCTAATATAAAGGCTATTTTATAATAAAGTGTTGAATATCTCATGTAATTTACTGAATACTATACTGAAAGTGTAAAACAGAATGGTTGTACAGGTACAGAATGGTTGTAAGTGTATTGGTTATTTACCCTCATGATTACAGGGCTGACTGGGAGCTGCGGCTCGCTGCCACCGCCCAGCATCACGAGAGTATCATACCACATATCACTAGCCCAGGAAAAGACCAAAATTCAAAATTAGAAGTACAGTTTCTACTGAATGTGTTATCACTTTCACACCATCATAAAGTTGAAAAACCATAAGTCAAACCATTGTAAGTCAGGGACCATCTGTAGTCCCAATATTCACCCATTCCCCCCAATGTAAACAGAAGGTCATATGTACAAATAAATCTTTTTCAACGTAAATTACTATTCTGTAACATGATCAATATTTATTTCTATCATCAACATCCTTCCATGTATCAAGGCCCACCTTATGCAAATGGTTGCAGAATATTCCATGAAACAAATGTACTGTAATTTATATAGCCAGTCCTTTAAGTTGGATATTTAGGTTCTTTACAATTTTGCCATAATAAATGATGTTATAAGGAATGTCCAAATAGACATATCTATGTGAATCTGTCCAATTATTTCTCCAGGATAAATTCTTAGAAGTAGAATAGCTGGTGAGAAAAGGGCACGCACATTTGAAATATACATTATAACAGCAACTGCCCCCCAGGAGGGCCAAGGCAACTTACACCCCCACCAGCAGTAATTAGGGTCCATTTCACCACTCTGCCCACTCCTGTGCATTAGCCTTCCCTTTAAACTTTGGCGATATCATAGCTGAAAATAATCTCATTATTTTAACCAGCACATATTTTATTAGTAGTAGGGTTGAATAACTTCCCCTAAGTTCTTTTTATTTTTCCTGGGAATTGCCTGCCTGTTTTTTCACTAATTTTTCTACCTCATTGTTAATCTTTTTATTGTAGATTTATAAAAGCTATGTATATGTTAAGGTAAGGTTCCTCTACCTCAGCACTATTGACATTTTCAGCTGCATAATTCTTTCTTGTGGGGACTGTCCCCAGCTTTGTAGGAAATTTAGCAGCATCCCTAGCCACTACCCACTAAATGCCAGTAGCACTTCCTCCAGTCGTGACAAAGAAAAATGTCTCCAGGCATTGCCACATGTTCTCTGGGGAGCAAAATCTCCCCTGGCTGAAAACCGCTGTGTTAAGAGGATTAACCCTCTGTTCCAATTACATGCTACTGCCTCTTGGATAACAGTCCCACCTCCCCACCCAATGGGAGTGTCCCTACTTCAATATTCTTCACAGATGGTCAGCTTGAATACTATACTAATTTTCTAGGCAGCTTTCTCAATGCTGAACAGCTATAGCTGTTGAGAGTCCAAACTCTTATAACTAAAATGAAGTCTAAATCCCTTTAAGATCCAATCATTAGTTTTAGTTATACCCTCTAGAACCGCACTGTTCAATATACTAGCCACTAGCCACATGTGACTATTTAAATTTAAATTAAGTGAAATTAAATAAAATAAAAAATTCAGTTCCTCAGTCACACTAGCCACATATCAATTGCTCAATAGCCACAGATGGCAGGTGGCTACTACATTGGACAATGCAGATGTGGAATATTCTCATCATCACAGAGTGTTCATTGGATAGAGCTACTCTGGAACCTTGCCACACAAAGTGTGGTCCAAGGACCAGCAGCAATGGCATCACCTAAAAGCTTGTTAGAAATACAGAATCTCAGGCCTCACCCGAGACCTACTAAATCAGGATCTTCATTCTAACAAGATTCCCAGGTGACTCACATGCACTCTGAAGTTTGAGAAGCATTGCCCTGGGAGACCCAAGCATCTGAGGTCAGTTATCAAATGTATACTCATTCCACAAGTCTATCCTTCTCCAGACTAAATTTCCTCAGCTTTTCATCATATGATCTAGTTGCTAAATCTCCACTGATCCAATTTTTCACTGCCCTCTATCATCTTCCAGTCTATAAAGGACAGAAGGAGAGGTGCACTTCAGGACAGGTCAGATATTGAGCCATCACCTTCTTTGAGCTGGATGCCAGGCTCCTTTCAATGTAGCCTCAGCATGCATTAGTTTTGTCATTATTTAGTAATTTCCCATCAGCCAAATCACACTAGAGACAAGTAATAAACTTGTGGTCAACAGATTCCTTGGGCTTCTTCATGGATCTGCAGTGTAGTCACATGTACCATAGACTTTTGTGGGTGATTGTTTGAACAGATGTTCATAAATGTACTATTATCTATATTAAATTTAACATTGTTGGCATTTGTCTTTTGGTTTCATCTACCAAGTTTTTAATAATCCTAATTCGTTCATCCAACTTTGTCTGAAAACTTGATGAGCATGCCTATGTCTTCTTCCAAACAAACTGGAAAACATTGAACAGGAGGAAATCCAGAATAGTGACCTAGAGTCCCACAGAGTCTTTTTTTTTTTTATAATTTTATTTATTTATTTTTCCCCCCAAAGCCCCAGTAGATAGTTGTATATCATAGCTGCACATCCTTCTAGTTGCTGTACGTGGGACGCAGCCTCAGCATGGCCAGAAAAGCAGTGCATCGGTGTGCGCCCAGGATCCAACCTGGGCCCCCAGTAGCACTTAACTGCTAAGCCATGGGGCCGGCCCCCCCCCAGAGTCTTCTTCCTCCTGCCTATATAAATCCACTCAGACTCTTGGGTATGGCTCTGACCCAGTTATTAATCCACTTACCTGTATTGATACTCGAAATCACTTCCTAACTCCAAAATGTATTGTTTCAGAAACCAGTAGAATTCTTCCAGCAAAAAAATTGCGAGATTAGATTTATGTTGTCTTAAAGATTGAAGACCAACTAATTTTTCCCACATCCTCTCTTACTACCAATACTTTATGACAAAAGCATCACACTCTCTCATTTATATCCCATTCCCAAATTAGGTCAACCAACAACTGCCTTTTAATTAAAACACATACATTCGTCAACACAGAAACAAACTAACAAATGTTTCAAGTGATCTGTACCAACACTTAACCTGTATCTGTCATGAGATCAATTCTCCAATGCACAAAGGCAGTCCACTCACAGAATATCTCATTACTTATATCCAATGACTAGGTGTGTTTATGTCTTATAATGTTCTCCTCCTTATTTTTATAAATATAGTCCATATAAATGAATGAATGATGTACCTAGTGAAGAAAAATATTAGACATATGACACCACATGTGAGAAGGCCATCTTATTCCAACTTATTTTGGTCAAGACAGCCATCTTATTCCAACTTCTTTTGCAAATCAGTTAAAATTATTTTTATTCTTCCACTAAATTAATTCTAGAGATTTAAAATTTTTACAATCCCTCTTATCCCTTTCTCATTTTGCTTTATCTTTTCTGTCTCATCCCTAGAAACTTCGTATTTGTGTTGCCCTCATCATGCATATTAATTGAACATATGTGCTAAGAAAATATATCAAATGACTCTTACAAGAGAGACAACTTGAGTGATTCAAAGATATGGAAGATAAGCTCTCTTCCTTGAGAGGCTAATAATCGAGTGGAAAAGAGAACATTTACACACAAATAATTATGATAGAAAGCAATATACAGAGCATGCTATATAAGTAATACAATCAACGAGCTATAAAAAATTCAGAGGAGAAAGCACTCAATTTCTGGCTGAGATAATTAGAAAGGAAAAAAAAAAAAAAACTTCTTAGAGGGAATAGCATTTATACTGGTTGGAAAGATGGATAGGATTTCAACATGTAGATAAGGAGAGGATTTGGAGACTAGTCCTGGCCAACCAAGCAAAGGTGCAAAGCAAGGGAGGTGCAAATAGAAATGAATCTACTTTGGCCAAAGTAAAGGATACATGGTGGGAAACTAGGCAGAAAAGGCCAGAGCATGAGGGGTAGCCATGTTTGATGATGATAAGAAAAGAATGCATGGACCCAGACAGGAGTACTGGCCCTGAGCAAAGTCAGTGTCCATACAATATCTAAACCTGTCTAGTATCAAAGTTGACTGAAGGGAAAGTATCAGTGATCGTTTATTCATAATATATAGCATAAGATACAGTGATTTCCATGTCATTAAATATTCTTCAGTTTTTAAATATTTGGATGGTATTTAATAATATGATAATACGGATATCCTCCACTATTATATATTTAGGTTAGTTCCCATGTTTTGTTAATACTTAAAATAGAACAATTGTGATGAACATCTTTTTACTTGGTGTGCATATAATTCCTAGAAGAGGAATTACTGGTCACAGGATAAGAATATTTTTAAGACTCTTAATACAGATTTATGGATTTCACATCATAAAACAGATACCCATTTAAACCTTCAACAGTGGTATGTGGGTTTCTTCATTATGTGCGACTATATCCATCTCACCGAAAGAATGTGGGCTTTTGGACACTCTACCTCCTCTCCCAATGGTGTAAGAAGCCAGACCAGACCAGAGAGGAGAGGGTCTACTGTCCCACGGAGGTGCAAAAAGGAGCCAAGGTACAGTCAATTTCTCCCTCTCGGTGTGACTGTGACTCCTCACTGAGCACCCCAGGACCTCAAACCCAAACTGGCTTCATGGCTCTGACCTGTGGAGCCTCATAGGGCCCCAGGCTTAGAAAAGCCTCATGCCTGATTTAACGTTTGTTATCCAATAATTTTTGAACAAGGGCCCTGCATTTTCATTTTGCACTGAGCCTTAAAAATTATGTAGCCAGTCTTGTTCACACCCCACGGTGCCTTGGAGAGTATGATACGCATAAGAGACGTTCAAAACTTCCCCCAACTAACACAATATTATTGTGTTTATAGGAAAGAGGGAGGAGAAAAATCTAACTAAATCCACATTAACTGCATTTTTAGAGAGTATGCATTTTTCAAAAAAGTCATTATCAAATTACCTCTTAATTTCATCAGTTATACAGATC